AGAAGAGAGGAGGAGAAAGAGAGAGGAGAAAAGAGAGAGGAGGAGGAAGAGGAGAAAGGGATGACCCCGGGCCTAAGTCTCCTAAGTGGTTTCGCTCGTGGGGTGTTATTATCATTGCATGTACGTGACACGTGTCTGCATTCGGGTTCGTGGCTCCTATCTGGTTGTATGGAGGGTTCAAAGCTGAGGCTAGGGGAGCGCGAGGGATTTTGTGAAATGCTGAGCTGCTCAGAACCCACTGTATCCCGGACATCCTAAGCTTTCTTTAGATGCCGAAGGAGGGTCTATCTAGAGTTCTAGGCGGGCCTCAAGCACATCTGCGCGGTAGTGTCGCGCTGCGTCAGGGAAGAGGCTGCGGTAGTTGGCCTGCACGCAATGGGTTCAATGGTTTCCAGCCGTAGCAACACATTGTAAGCAATGCCGCATTTCCGAACATGATCTTACAAAGTCCACCCTCTGCCATAGAAACCGTATGGGTACAAGGAAGGTCATGCTGGTGGAACCTTGCAGGGGTACGACCTTATGGGTTTGTTGACATGAGTACTTTTCGACTTCAAGGCCCCGACATCACCCAAAACATGAACTCCTGGTTGTCAGTACCCCAAAGCTTGCAGACCTAAACCCTCAACTATCCTACGTTCTACGCCCGCAAACCTTTGAATCCCAAAGCCTTAAAACCCCAGCCTACCTAACATAGGATGACGAGGAGGGGAGTATGCTGGCCTGTTTGCGGGCTCCAGCTTTACACCCTTAACCTAGGTCCCGAATCCTTCAATAATCTACCTACGCCCAAAACCCTACACCCACTGACCTTTGTTCCGTAAATCCTACATCCTGGATGCTTAAAGCACCAGTAAACCCCGATTGCGGACCGTCAGCTGCTCGCGATAGGGTCGCGGTGCGGCTTGGAGGCCCAGCCTGATCTGGGTTTCGCAGAATTGGGGGTACCTTGAAAGACTTTGTAGGGGGAAGCCGAGGTTTTGAAGGAATGTCATAGGAATATGCAGGGCATTACAGGGTCATAGTATTTTTGGGGTCTGCTCAAAACAAGTGTCCCTTTGAAGGACTTACAGGAGCGAAAGGGTTAGGGTTCAGGATTTAGGGTTCAGGATGTTGAGGGTCTGAGGTTAAGGGTTTGGGACTGAAGGTTTTAGTTTAAGGGTTTAAGGTTTGAGGCCATGGCTTCAAAGTTCAGGGCTCAAGGCTTGGCCATTTAGCGCTCCACATTTGTGGCCCATTGGGGTTGAAGGTTTGGGGCTTGGGTTTCAAGGCATTTCCAGGCCGGTCCTGCTATTGGCCCCAATCGAAGACGACCTCTACGGCATCTCGCAGAGATTGAATGCAGAAGGTGCAATTGTGCAGAACAAGTTCTTCCGCAATGGGGTGAGTCCTAAAGGGTTTCAGAGAACTCTGCTGTTACACCAATTTGACAAGCCCCAAGCCCAAATCCCTAAACCCCACACCTCCCTACAACTTGATTACAGGGCCACCATTGGAGAGAGGCGCAGAGCACGAGCAGCACTCTGGCAGCATGCTTCAACGGGCTGCTCCTGTGCTTCTACAGCCCACTATGCCCATCTTGCAGCTCCGGGGGAGTGCTACCCTCCGTCAGAGTGCTCTAGGCGCCCCCCATCAATTTTGATTTTTTCCTCAGCAGCCGCCCAGCCTGTTGAACTGTCCAAACAGCTGACTCCCATCTGGAGTTTCAGCTCCAGCTGGAGGTGTCGTGCTAGTTGGATCCGTGGCAGCCTCAAGCAGACTCACCCCCTGCACACCTGCGGAAAACAGAGCTGCCACGACTCTGGTGCTGCTGTGCCAATGAGTGGACAGGGCATACAGGTAGGCACTCGCCCGCGCTTGCATGGCTAAACTCCTGCAGATAGGAGTAGCTCAGACTCCCGAACCTGCTCATGGACCCATGGGAGCGAGTGTCCTTAGGTAGCGCACTAGCCCTGGATGAGCGCTGTTGCTGGTCCCTTGCTCGTCAACATTGAACATCCTCGGGGTGGAGGGCGCGTCCCAAACGCTAAACTCTTCATTCTGCACCCTAGACCCTCAAAAGCCCCGATAATTATTTCAAACAAAACCCAACAAATTGAGCCGCAGCAGCGCAGTGGCTGCAGTCTCCACAGCGCCAAGCAAAAGGGTGGTGGACGGCTGGCCTTGCTGGGGGTTTCTCAAAATTGGGGGGTTGCAGAGTCTTGCCGAATTTTAGGATTCGGGGAGAGCATCTCAAAAGTAGGTTTAGGGTTCTGGGTTTCTCCGAATCAGGGTACCTTGAATGTCTTTTGGGCAGGTTTAGGATTTGAGAGTGCGCGCTAACAGCACATAAGCCCAGTTGCAGTAAAGGCGCTACCCTGCAATGAGGTAACGGCGCGTAGCGTGGACGGGCAGTAGAATGTACTAAGTCTATTCATGATTTAGACTTTCCCAAAACGGGGTTCAAGGTTGCCTCACGTTCGCTGTTGAAGTACCTCAAGTAAAGCTGACGAGAGCTAGCCGGGCCTGCCACTTCGGTAACTAGGTAGGCATAGCACGAACTACTAGGGTTTAGGGGTTCTCAGCAATAACTAATATACCAGACTCTGTGATAAACAATGTTTATGCTTTGAGCAATTCCTTACCATTCTCTGGGAAGGAATGATGCTTGGCAGAGGTGCACTGTTCGCTATGAAAATTAAATACACCGTCCCCCCATTTCCTCATTTCATTCTACCCTGCAATAACGTCCGCAACTTTGATTTCTCAAGTCTTGAAAGGTTCGAACCCAATGTCTTGCTACTTGTTTGTAGTGAATATAGGAAGGGACCCCTAGAAGCATCCCCAGGCAATCCCCATGCTTCTCCTTTTGCCTGAAGCACGGACGCCTACAATCATCTCAAGACAGCCCCATGCCAATCCTATGATTTTTTCATCACGCATTGCAAGACATTTTTCTTGGTACCCCCACCAAGAAAGCAACATCCTAAAGAACTCCCTTGCCGCAAATAAAATGCCCCCGACCTCTTGAAATAGTGAAAGCTCCATCTTTTATGTTCATGAAAAGGTACTGTACTGGGAAAAAGTACACTTAGGAGCTTGGGATCTTGTTACTAGGTGCGGGGATTCACGAACTAAACTCCGGATTAGACTCTCAATACTGAAGTGCCATCAGCAAAACATCCCTTTTGCACGCTCCTGCAAGCCACCTCTGAAACTCAGCTTGGGTACCTTGTGCCTGCTGAGTCCGGTTGCCCCCAGCGCTGGAAGCATGGCTCATGAGATACTCAATGGCTGCGTTTTCCTGGCAAATTGGCAGGCTTCGGGCGTAGGGCGATGGTTCGGAATTAACCCAATCTTCTAAGACTCAAAATGCAAACTCAAAATCCAATCCTTCAGCACTCAAATCTAATCAAGCCACACAACAAAGCTGAACTAGCTAGCGACTAGTAGGCAATGATCCATTGCACCGCTGGAAATGGATACGCAGATCAGTACGAAGATTAGTCCCTACGTTATCAGCCAAATGGTTGCCATGACCCGCTCCTTCTCCCCCTATTAACCACCAGTAAGTCCACAAATTCTAAACAACAGCTGAAGTGCATCTCAGTCTCTGTGACAGGGCCTGCGCCCGAAAGAGGAGTTGGCGTCCGCCTTGTGGGCCTCCACATGGGACTTTCTCCAAATGTCTTGTGGTTCCTCAGAGAGGTTACAAGGATATGTTGGAAGAGCTAGGGGTTAGGATTGAGGAAGCCCGGGTTTGGGTTTTTTAGTGTTTGGGTTTTGGGGTGTAAAGGCTGGGTCTCTGCGGTTCCAGGCCTCCACATGCTTTGCAGCCTCTCGACGTTGTGTCTGGTGCACCCTCAACGAGATGAGACTTAAAATGATCATGCTGACAACCTAGAAGCTAGCAGTCTCACCACAAGTAATCCAATTGCCACTATTTGTAATTTGCTGTTTGCCAGTTTGAAAAAAAGTCAGGATGACACTAGCACATGCATCCTCAAGCCTGTGCCCTAGGCCCTAAACCAAACTCAGGATGATGAGTTCCATGGAAAACTTGGCTCAAACCTCATCCGCTTGTGGATCTAATCATGCAAACACGAGGTAATGTGGGGCCACCCGGCCCCAATTTTGCTTAGATGATTGCAATAGGGTTTGGAGCAAACCTACGGCACTTGTAGAAGGGTAGAATGCCACATGTTGCCGACTCTACAATTTCTAGTTCATGCATACTAAGGTTTCCTTCCTTGAGCCTACTTTGTGCGGTCACGGCAGTCATGATGCTCTGTGCGTAGACCAAGGCAATGCCCCAGCCAAGCTGCAAACCAAATCCTGGCAGCCCCGCTCCTTTTTAAGGAGGTTTCCACGAATGGGGGTCCCTTCTTGGGGGGGGGAACATTCCAATGCCTACATAAAAGCGTAGCTGAACTAGACTCAAACGTGGCTGTTCACCTCCTGGGATATCTCCTCGAATTCCGAAACTGTCAATCTAGGACAAGTGCAGGGGCGGAGTACCTTTTGGCATGATGCCTTATATAAGCTTTCCATTCCCCCGTGTATATCCCAACCCACCAAATGTCTTATATGACCCTGACATTTCAATGAGATACCGCTGACGAAAGAAATCCTTTCCACTATCTTAAGCCTTGCAAATCCGGGGCCTTAGTAGAACACTCTAGGCACCCTATTCAATGCATGCAAGATTTCCTCCATGAGCAATAGCTCCCCCGTTTCCTCATCGACTAGGCGCAATCTGATTTACAGATTTAGGGTTTCGGGAGCTGGTCAAAACTTTAATGGAAAATACCTTCCCACATGTTTCCCTTGTGGATCTACAGCACCTCTAAATAAATTTACCCAAAGGACCTAGATCAAACCCCACATCTTGAATGCCAGACCAAGGTTTTGGGTTCAGGGTCTGGGTTGAGAATGCAAGGTCGAGTTCCAGGAAGGCCTAGGGTTAGAGGTAAAATTTAGGTATGAGTTTCGGGGCTGTACTTCTAAGGTCATTACCCCCAACATGCCATGAAACGCTGGATGGATATCATGGGCAAAACTCCAAGCCTAAGCCTTGCTTCAGGCATAACCAGCATAACCGTGCACAGGTACACCATACCATGACCGCTCCTAAACCGTAAGCCGTAAGCCCGAATTGGTCCTTGATGAAACCTTATGCTCCACCTGCAGAGGTAGGCTGTGCTTGATCACTTAGTGAGCAGCTAGTGGCTTCAGGAGGGCTCTTGCCGTCACCTCCCGGCTGAACTGTGTTTTGAAATCAAGCGCTTTTTGTCCTACCATGGTTCAACAATCATCTGCGGGCTAACTGTTTGAACATGATATCGGAATTTCGCCCACCGGAAGGATACGGCGATGAGGGCAAACCCTAGCCGCAAGCAACTCTGCTTCGGCTGCAGCAGAGTGATGCGCCGGCGTGCTGGTGTCTTCAGTGAGATTTTTGGAGGGGGTTAAGGGATTAGCGCTTCCAGTTATCCAAGGTGGGAGTGTAATTATGTTCGTAGACTCTAGAACCTACAACACGCATTCTTTACTTATGGAATTGTACACTTCCAGCCCCAAAATAGTCTCTTGCTCCTCATATTAATACGCTGCTCGGTCCCCGACCAAATATGCGCCCACCCACCCTGGTGTGCAAGCTCTCTTGTAACGAATATTTGATGCTAAGGCTGCTAGAGTGGAAGCCAGTGTTTAATGCTTGGGTCATCTCACGTACACAGAGTCACTGACAAAAAATTACTCGTGCTTGTTGATCCTGGGCTCCAGGCGGAGAGCAACTGCGTAGGGCAAGTGCATCCCCCGAAGCCCCAACCCTTAAAAACTTAAGCCCTGAAACCCCAAAATCCGAAACCACAATGCACCCTTAAAACCCCTATTCCCTCGAGCTTTTTTAGATAACATGCAGTTGTCATGTCCGCAAAGTACGTAGCGCTTCCAGATTGGGGGCCCAACGTAACTCTAGGGAAGTCCGTGGATATTCAGGTGACTGTGAGAGCGCGAGACATGTTTTGGGATTCCTGTGAGGATTGTCACTCTCCGGGAGCCATGCTGGCATTTCGAGTCTAGGATTTAGGATATGGGTTCAGGGTTCAAGGCACAAAGCAATGCTGACAACAGTAGTAGCCTCCTCATTGAAAGACCCTTTAGACATAACTTACTGGTGGTTTGTGGGGGAATAAGGGCATATAATCCCTCTAGAATCTCTATAAAGATGTATTGCCTTATTTCCGACTCACACCCAGTAAGATAAGTTTCCGTGCATGTCGGGAGTATGTGGGGATTGGGTAGTCAGCATGATATAGCTCAATAGCTGCCCTTGGCCTGCACGCAGGTTTAGGGCTTAGGGTCTTAGGTTTAGGGTCTGAGGTTTAGCGATAAGCCCCCATCCCATGTCGTACAACCTCCAACGCAGCGCATTCTCTACATGCTATGCTCCATGTACGCCAAACAAATCCCGCCGGCCACATATCACCAAACAACTCTAAATAGAAACCTCTGCAAACACACAAGCCGCCCATGGCATTGGTTGATCATGAGTCATGCTTATGGCAGCGTTGATAAGAAGCTTCCTGCCAGCAGGAACCATACAGGCTCTGTTCACTGGCAACTATCTGGGACTATCAGTCATAACCAGGCTGTCGTTTTCAAGAGATTGCAAGTTGCGCTCAGTTGAATCGCCTTACTAGTGCACAAGGAGGAGTGCAGGAGTGAACTCATGTTCTATTCTTGTGCTCAAATCTAATGGGGACTAGTAAAGGGATCTACTCCCCATTCCCGCTAAAGCACTCGTATGTTGTTGCAGTTCTGAGGTGCAAAGAGAAGATCACTCACAGGCGCTGTTCCTGGGTGCACCAAAAACATGATAATTGAATAGCTGCGAGTGGTGGCAGAGCAGGTTGAAGCTGCTATATATGTTATAGGTCCCGATTTGTAGTGTACAGAAAAGCCTACAAACCCAAAACGTGTCCTAAAGCCTTACATGCCGCCCCACAAACACCTGATTCTGTCGGTCCGATACCGGGTTGGCTTCGATAGTAAGCTTTAGGGCTTTAGGGTACTGCCTTGAGTGCTTCTGCAAATACACAGGCTCCCAGCAGCTCAGCTTGATTTCAGAGACATATGGCGATCGAGCTGACTGACAGCTCGCGCAGTCTGGATGCAGAACAAGAACCAAGCTCATGGTTACAAGGGCTGATTGGGGCGTCACCTGCCCTATGTCTACTGCACTCATACACTGGCACTCATTGCTTGTAATTCAGGGTTGATAAGGAGGGATCTTAGGACTTTGTGGTCCCGTGAAGTTCTGGGAGTCTTCTTGGTCAGAGGCACACTCTGGGTTTGTTATATATCCCATTAACTTGTCATGGGACTTAGTGACTACTTACATCTGGAGTTCTAACCATACTTGTACTTGGGGTAGCCTGCATATGTCCAGACAGGCGGGTTATAGGTGAGGACAAAGAGCCCGGATATAAGTAGTTGCTAAGTCCCATGAACCCCCAACTAGCCACTAGGTTCCCAGGGTCCCTGAAAGTAAATCGTGCTGCGCACGCTGCTCTTTCAGCTCACTCGTCTCACATTGCCAGTTGGGAGTTCACCTCCTTGCCTGGCAAGCGGGTGGCAGTTGACATAGGGCTTTCCGACTTGGAAGGCGATGCGGCTTGATCTCCACCCCCCCAACCCTAAACCTTAGACCCTGAAATTGAGGCCTAAGCCCTGAAAACCTTGTTTTCGTTGGACTACGAGCAAGGGGTCTACATGACCTCTGAGTTAAGGTGGCCGGGAGCAGCGGCGAGGAGCTTGCAGGTGGGGAGGCATGTATGGGGAATGCAGGAATGGATCCCCAGAGTTTCTTTTTTCTAGTGCGCTAAAAATCCTACCGCCCGTTCCCTGATGCACTGCTAGCCACTGATAAGTTTAGAGCGCTCTGCGGTAAGGACATCAAAACTAGGATAAAAAATCAAGCTTTGCCGCACGCCATGTCTTGCAACCAAGCTTCTAATGCAAGACCGTACTTTGTCCCCGCAACGACGAAACATGAAAAGCTACAGCTGTTGTTGCACTTCGGTTCTTACTACCATGATTACGTCTCTTCATTCCGCGCTTCATGTAGTCAAATGTAGTCTGCATGCCCTGAAAACTAAACATGATCCACCTTGCGTCATGGGGTCGTTTGTGAAGTCGTCGGCCATATTGGCATCTAGGCGGCGTGTGCTTGGAGATTATCAGAACTGCATGCGTGAGTGTCAGTTATCATGCAAGAGGTCAAAGTATGTATCCCCAAAAGGGCCTGCAATAGTAAGACCACAAACATGATGGTGGTGGTGGTGGTGGCGGCGGCAATCAGTGGCAGTGGTAGTAATCACAGTAGTGACGTTGGGCGAATGCACACCCTGTAGACAGGTTTTAGCCTGCAGATCAGATTGTGAAAGACGCTTTGACCACCCCGGGGTTCTGTGGGATTTCTTCGGGAACTCTACAAGAATCTCCGTACAGTGTCTTTATTCGACAGGCCTCAGCCCCCTGAACCCTGCAATCGTGAACCTAGCAACCTTGAACATGTCTTCTCATGGCCCAAACATATTACAAAACATGTTTGACGTTAGCAAGTGGCAGGCTGTTCTATACCAATATGAAGCATCTGCTTTTTACAATGGAGTACAAGAAGAAAGCCTACCTAGACCCGGTCATGTCTCGGTTGCGTGCCCAGCAAATCGGATGCGGAGGAAGGCCTGGACATCCACAGTTTAGGGTCTTTGGTTTCAGGGATAGATGTCTAGGGTTAAGCGATTAAGAGGTTGAAGGCTAGGGTTTGGGGTGGTTCAGGGTTAAGTGTCTAGGTACGTCTGATCCAAAAAATCCCGCGCGACCTAGTATACGAACATATGATGATTCGACATGAATCGGTAAAAGGTACTTAGGGTCAGGCAGGATTTTTCATATATAAATAAACATAAGCATATATATATATGGGTATATACATATATGTACACAGGCATGTTCCACAATAAAGAAAGATTTGGGCCTGTGGTGATGGTAAGGGTATATATGGGGATTGCTGTGAGAATAATAGACGGAGCGAAGGTAGAACTACTACGCAGCACAAGTGTCGTAAACAAACATAGGAAAAATAATGCATCTCTACTGCATGGAGAATTCAGGGCGCACTGTAATGTATGCCGTCTCATAATGCGTAATTAAGATGCTTCGCAGAGAAACCCTCAAGCCAATCTGAGGCCACCAGAACCCTAAGCACCCCAAGCTCTGAATCACCAACTCTGCTGCCCACGGCTTGGCTCTGAGGGCCCATGCTTCAAGAAGCTTGGCTAAACAACCGCAACCTGAGATCGTGTCGAAATGCCCCATGGCATTGCGTCGTCAGCTAAAGAGGGATGCTTGACTGAAAGTCAGAGGCAGCCCTTGAACTTGCAGCTAAAAGCCATCAGCTTTGTAGTGCGCTTAGTTCCCTTCGCTAGCGAACATGGTGAACTCGAGGCGCTACGCCGGCAATTTGATGATCAACATCCACAACTTGCATGCTCCTAGGCGAGCTGAAGCCTGAAATGAACAATAGCAGGGCATCACACAGAGAAAGAGAGAGTTCAACAGGCCTTGTCCAGTCAGCATCGAACAGGTCTTCGATTTCATAGCGGGCCTGTTTGGGTGAGGTCTGCAGGTGGTCTTTCCAAAGGAATACGTGTCAAGTCGGGCTCAGGGCAGGCTGGCACGCAGTAAGTTGCAATTCCTGACGCACACTACAAGCTGATGCTTGCAGCACGGGAGCCTTGGCAGCCTTCCGTACGGACTGCAGTGCCTTCTCGGCAGCTCGCCGCCTGGGCTTCTTCACGTCACTGGTACTTGCTAGCCGCTACCCCCACTCGGAAGTGCTTAAAACCTACCCGCATCCACCGCAAAAATGCTCAGTGCCCTGCTGCCTTTTTTGGTAGGCCATGGTCCGCTGCACTTTCTTCAAGTTGAGCCGTAAAGCTTGGAGCCTCAGCGCAAGAGAACGCGGACGCTTCAACTTGCCAGCTCTTTGCAGCAACCAAGGCCCGGGCAGCTTGTGCTGCGGTTCCAGCTCCCGGATCCGACTCTGCAGCGTGGTGCGCTGCGCCTCCAGGACGTTTACTTGCTCCTGCAGCTCAGAAGGAGACAGAGAGACGGAAAGACACCAACCCAAAAGGCAGCCAATTAAGGGTAAACCCCAAATGCCCTACTCCACACCCTACACCCCAAACATACATAACAGCACAAACCATCCTTACTGCCTGACGAAATCCTGAACAGTGCTTGTAGGTGGCTCTAGTAGGCCTCTTGCCTAGTACCACCACATGGGATCGGCATATCTCAACAAGACCAGACCCTTGCATTTGAGTCTGACTGGCCAGCTTCACCATCCTAGGCCCGCGTCATCCGTACAGACCCGAAATCATCACCCCGAAGTCCCTACGTCCTATGTCCCTGCGGGCCCGATGATTCCAGCAGAGGCGAGGCATTCAGCAAAGGTTTCTACCAGCATCCAAATCAACACTCCGAACGTAGAACCAGTAAACTTGTCATTTAATTCACCTCAAGCTCATTTAGTCTGATTCCCGCACTTGTGTCAATCAAACCGCTTTGGGGCCGCACTGGGAGCTTAGGTTGCAGGTGTACCTCTCAGATTCCAGCATCAGGAGTTGTGGACAGTCATCCGAAAACTCGTTCTTACAATGACCGTCCGCAGCTGGTTGACAGCACGCAGGACAGACCGCAAAGCCTGGGCTCCAACGCTCAAACCGAAAAAACGAAAACCTCTGACCATTAATCATTGAATCCCCAAAGAAATACTATTTGGGGGGAGGAAAACCCCTCGAGACAGTGATGAACAGCAATGCCCGCTTCTCAAATTCATCTGCAAAGTACTGTTGGGATCCCTGGGATCTTTGTTCGGCTCACCTGAAGAGCGCCAAGCCCCTCGACCAGAACCCTGGACCCCAGTCCCACTTGCCAGCGGCAGCACATTTGGCACTATATATATATATACACATATTCTATTTTGCATGTGTTCCGACTAGCCACCTTAGCGTGGCCCCAGTTTTTTCTCCAAGCAAGCCCTTCAGACTTGGTTCTCAAGCAAAGATCAAACCCGAAATTCATTCCTGACTCGACAGCTGAAAATGAAATGTCCCTTTTCGCAACCTGAAATCCTGAAGAAAACCATATGTCACAAATTCCACGCATCTGCTGCCTCAACATTCGTCAGCCTTTTTTGGAGCTCATCACGCTCCTTGTGTCAGAAACTGGCTCTTTCAGGGCTTCTGGCTGTAAGATCCGCTTGTGGGCTACAAAATGTGTGTAGGCTCTCATAATCAAAGCCCTGTTCCTTCTCAGGTACACAAAGGGACTCCAAGGGACCCTGCGATTCAGACATGCCCAAATATATCTTTGCAAGCATTCAGTCTGCCCGACAATCTCTGAAACTATCCCCCTCAGAAAACCTGGGTACTTGGCTGTGTGTTGGGGGCAATGTTCGATTGCTCTTGGAAGGCATGATCCATGCAAGCAACCCCAATGCATGCAGATGGCCAGTTAGGAACTTGGGAGCTGTTGAAATCTTATTCTGGGGAGTGTGGTCGGGACATTTTCTGCTGGTCCTGGACCCGCTGCTGTGAGACGGTAGGGTATCCTGCGGTATCTTAGCTTCAGGATGAAAGCAATGACCCGTCTAGAGCCAATACTTTGTATTTAGCAATCAAAGATCGACCACCAAAAAACTTATATTCTGCGGTGGACCGACCTCTTTCCGCAGATGTACATAAGTTGTGCAACATTTTGGCAATCGACAATAGTAAATCACCATGCCATTCCTGATGATCCCTTTGTAAATCCCCAACCTTTGAGGCCTCAACGCTTAACCTTAAACTGGAAACCCCAGAGGCCTTGATGAGCTTGTAGCGCTCCTTCTCCAAGATTCTCGCCTGAGGGGCAGTGGTCATCTACCGGTAAGGTTGAGGAGGACCACATGAGGATGACGCTTTGACGAACATGTCTGCAGATGTTAGCACATCATGATGATTGGACAGGTTCCCCTGACCCCCCCATGACACAATAAGTATGCACTTGTTCACCCCAGTCCTCTCCAGCTGGCGGGGGCACCTGTGGTGTACAGGCCTGAAAAAGCTGCTAAGAAAGAGGCTGCTTCAGGATTGGGGAAAAATCACCTATGCACAAGAAGCATGCGCTCTCCTCTCACAGGGGGGGGGCTTCAAGACCGCACCTGCGCGGTTTCCCTTGCGCACGCCTTCTCTGAAGTGAAGCCTCTTGCCTTTGGTCATATGTAAACCCTTGCCAAGTCCCAACACGGAACTACATGTGACCGAAGACAGCAGCAGCCAAGGCTGTCAAAGAAAACGGGCTCATACTGCCAGTGATCGAATATCGCAGTCGCAATAAATCATCACCCAGACAATCTGCGGCGAACTTCGCAATACAAAATCTGAACCCGAAGCCTTTGATGAGTCAAGGTTCTCAAGACCAAGGCATCCCCTGCCTCCGCAGGCGGGTCAACGCTTCCTTCCTGGCAGAACTTGAGTCTGGTTGAAGCTCAAGGGATCGAGGGTCAGATACGAGGGGCCAAGACTTTGGTGGCTGGAGGGTAAGAAAAGGCTTGTTCAGCACTTATCCTTAGCCAAGGGGGGGATGCTTGGGAAGGATGTCGACATAGATCTCAGCAGTCTAGGCTCCTTTAGATGCAAAGCTACGCTAACGGCTAACGGCCGTGGCATGCTTTGAGCTGACACACAAGGCTTGTTGCATAAAAACGTCACTATCTTGGAGGTCCGTGCACAGTAGGTACTACCCGAGTCAAATGGCGCTTGGTGGGTGGGGGCTAGCTTAAAATATGTTAGTTTGATGCTTTGGTAGGTTTGACCTTGCGCGATGTAAAAAGCGCCATTTCTCTGTGCTTGCAACAAGCTGAGGCTGAGCAGAAGTGGCACTGCAACTGCACCAGCACCATTTTAATCAGATCCTTCAAAAAAACGATCCCGATGACCCCCCCAAAAATAGTCCCCGAAGATATTGTGACTATGCTATGCCCGTAATACTTACTTTTATTACTATGTGGTGAGAAATTATCAAGGGAGCCGGCTAGCAGCGGCAACGAGGAGGAATGACCAAGAGAGCGACACCACCACCACCGCCGCCGGCGCCG